TACTCTCTTCACTCACTCACTCATTCAACTTGCACTTGCTGGTTCTCTCCCTCCCCCGTCTCTCTCCACCCCATGAATCAATTGGTTTTAGGGGCTAGAAGGGTAAACTAAAGAACAAGACCCCTAAAACCATTAAATCGGGTCCCGTGTTTTTGTCCTACTCCTCCCGCTTTCTTCCTTTCCCCATCACTCACTTCTACTCTGTCCACTTCGCGCTCCCAACGCGTCTCGATTTACTGCCCTTCATATACCTCTCTCTTCCCCCCTCCCCCCTGAGATTAATTTGGTCATTCGACTTTTTTCTTTTCTTCCGAAAGCACACAACCCCCATCCTTTTCGACGGAAGTAGAGCAGGGCTCCCTCGGTCATTACCTTCCCATTCTATCATAATGTCCTCTCCCTCGTCGGCAGGAAAGCGCAAGCGCAGTGCTTCCCAACATCTTCCGTCCAACGTAACCTCCGCTGATCCTCTGCAACCTTCATCACGCGATGCGTCGGGCGAAGATGGCGACGATTCCACCGGTCCGAATACTCCCCTGTCGGTCAAGTACAAGAAGCAGGCACCGATTGATGTAACTTCGGCGGGCAATGTTCCGCCATCGAAACGGGCTCGGAAGAGCTCAACGGTTGGCGAGCAAGCCAATGGTCCTGTCACCGACGAACCCTCGGCACTCAGCAAGGAAGATCCCGGCGAGCCGTCAGAAACGACGGTTGCCAGCAGCGATATCGAAAGCCGAAGCAAGGGCCGGTCGGGATTACAGATCAAAACGGCAGATGTTGAGGATACCGAGGACATGATGCAGCCACCTCAGCGGGCCGGGTTGCAGGATCCGGTTGGATACCATACTAATCCTCCGCCCGTGGGGCGCCCAGTGCGCGTGTATGCGGATGGTGTCTTTGATTTGTTCCACGTGGGGTATGTTAATGTGTCTACTTTTAAAAACTTGGAATGGTGCTAATGGAGCTTCTTGCGTAACAGCCATATGCGTCAGCTTGAACAGGCGAAGAAGGCCTTCCCGGATGTGCACCTGATGGTCGGTGTGACTGGAGATGAGGAGACTCATAACCGGAAGGGTCTTACTGTCCTGAGTGGTGCGGAGCGCGCAGAGAGCGTTCGTCACTGTAAATGGGTGGACGAAGTGATTCCTAATTGCCCTTGGCTGTTGACTCCGGAGTTCCTCGACGAGCACCAAATCGACTACGTTGCGCATGATGACCTGCCCTATGGCGCGGCCGAAGGAGATGATATTTACGCCCCGATCAAGGCCCAGGGCAAGTTTTTGGTTACTCAGAGGACGGAAGGCGTCAGCACCACGGGAATCATCACCAGGTGAGTATATCTGCCTCTTATTGTGGTACTGTGCCGGAGGTTGACTGTATTGCAGAATTGTCCGCGACTACGACCAGTACATTTCCCGCCAATTCAAGCGAGGCGCCTCGAGACAGGAGCTGAATGTGTCATGGCTTAAGAAGAACGAACTGGAAATCAAGCGACACGTTGCGGAAATTCGGGACAATATCCGAAACAACTGGACAACCACGGGCCAGGAGCTGGGCCGAGAATTACGGCAGCTCTGGCAGAATAGCCGGCCTGGCAGCCCGGCACCGAGTGCGAGGAACAGTGTAGACATGGGCAGTACACGAGGAAATGTTGTCAGCCCTACCACTGGTACCATGAAAACCCATCTGTCACGGGTGGAATCAGTGGGCCGGTCTGAAAGCCCCATTGGCAATGGACGGAATGAAGACTTTGCAACTGGGTACAGCTTGGGATTGATTGGAGGTGTAAGATCCTGGGTAAGGAGATTCTGTCGCCCGAGTGGAATTGAGCTGTTATTAACTGGACATATGCACAGATGCGCAGCCGTCGGTCACTCTTGGAAAGCCGCGCCCCTTCCCCGACAAGTGAGGAGGAGCACGAGTCTGAGCAGGAACGCAGTAACGGCCACATTGAACCATTCAAATCGCCCGCCAATGCCGTGTCAAATTAGAACCGATGGTCAAGCATGGTTCAGCCCTATCAAGTTCTGATCATCTTCTCTCACTCTTTCGGATATTTGCTTATCATGTCTCTCTGAGCACATGTAAGTTAGGTCAGAGAATGAAACAAAAGAAAAAGAAGGGGGAACCGAAAAACCCACAAATTGACATTTATCTCATGGTAGCTTGGAAAAGGAGAAAAAAGAAAAGAAAAAAAAAGGGCACAACAATATCTACTACTCATTCCCCTCCCCCCTTTCACAGAGTTCTATGACCATTATCAGACGATCTTATATCAGATGGGTTGGTACGATATAATGTTTCCTTATTGATTCTGGCGACTCTTTATTTATGTTTTTTCTCTTTTCCCCTTTCTCTTTTTTACCTTCTGGTTGATATTACCGTTGTTATTATTATGATGATATTTGCCCCCATAATCATTCCTCCTGTTGGGTCAAGAAAGAAATCGCATGTCTCCAAGTTTGGGTTAAATTGTACGGAAATCTAGGGAACGGTCAAAGGGTTCATTTCATTCATCGTCGGTTTTTTTTTTTTTTTTTTCGTTTGTTCATTTGTCCCACTGCTGTTGCTTTTCCTCTGATCTGTATTTATATCGGCCGGGGGGGTTTTCTTTTGTCTCTTCCGCTTGTTGATTGCAGGATACTATCTTTAATAAGTTGCCTTGGCTGTAGATAGATTTAGATAGATCTGTTGGAATCGATTATGGCGTTTCTTGTGGGTTTTGATCAAGTATCTCGGAGATGGCACACAGGCTTGGGTGATGAGTTCGCCGGCTGGCATCATCTGCCCACTCTTGGCTCCGTATAACTGGCATATATTGGCTTGGGCAAAGCGACAAGCATCTAACTTCTGTCATCTATCTATGTAACAGGACGAGAGGTAAAGAGAGGCAAAAGTCAATCGTAGATCAACCGCTGACTATTTTCGAACCCAGTTCTAACTTTTATAGTCACAAGACGATGTGGACAACCAGGAAGCAAGGATAAGGAAAAAAAAAAAAATTAAACACAAATGCAGGCACACAAAGGGTATCTCATTCCTAATTCCAAATTGCTATTTCCGTTCTCTGCCTCCATTGGGAAGCTTGAAATGCGTATTTTTCACTTCGTAATATCAAAATGTTGTCGAATTGACGGGAAATTTAAGTGATCAAGCAGCCGTGATAGCAAGGCGCGGTCGCGTTTTCCTCTCCGCAACGTCGAGCACCTCCGCCTCCATGCCACACGCCCTCTTCATCTGAAGAGTAGGAACGATAGGTATCTGGCCACGTGCTGAGCACATACGCTCACGGAGAGCATCTCGCAAAGCCACCGCATCCCGGCACAGGTCTTGCTCCATCACTCTCTTGGTGTAGGCGTCGCAGCGGGCCGTGATGCCCAACTCGAACGACTTGAGTCCGCGGACACAGAACATCGGGGAAACCCAGGGCTCATCGATAGCCAGGCGGAAGCGTTTCCCGCCAATCACACCGCCCATGGCGTTACCGCTGAAGCGGCCGAGGTCAAGGCTCAGATGCAACTGTTCGAGGCCACGGAGGGCGGCAATCCGGGTCCAGAAAAGAGCCCAGAGGTGGTCGTTGTGAGTGTGAGAATAGATGGAGGATTTGTGCTCCTGGCCGGCCATGGGCTGCCAGATGGGCATCCATTGGACGGTGAGGCGTTTGATCGAGCGGAGACGCTCCGGGCAGACGATCAGAGAGAAGGCGATGAAGGTGTGGAGGTCGTCTACGTCGAAGACCGCGTTGGCGTAAAGGATGTCGGCGGCTTCAGCGTATGTGGCGCGACATGTGCGCAGTAATGCCACCGAGGAATTGCTCAGGGACGCTGGGAGGGAGGCGTGCGTGTGCGGGTACAGCACGCTGTCGGAGTGGTTATCCTGGACCCGCCAGCGGGCTGGGGTAACAGGGCAGCAGCGGCGGTTGCGGTCGAGTGATGATGAGGGATGTTTGCACCGGACGTGGCGGATCTTGCCCTTCAACTGGACTAAATGGATAGCTTCATCGCCGAAGGCGTAGTTGTAGATTATGAGACGAATTTCGGCAGGTAGCTTGCGGAAGAATAAGCTGTCGAATTGGGATGCCATGGGCCGGGCATATGGGTCGACTGGTTTGGATGATGTGGAGGAGGAGGAGGAGGCATGAGGAGAGATATCCACGGAAGGCGCGCAGATCTTGCGTTCTTGAATCAAATCACGAATAGCCTCTTGCCATCTTCGTCCCGTGGAGTAGTAATGAAAGATGGAGTACGGATCTCGAAGTAACCAGGCATCGAAGTGACGCATTGTTAGTTTTTTTTTTTTTTTCTTTTCCTATTCTCTTCTAACCTCTTAGGCCCCCTTTCTATCTCTTTTACCCTTTGATTTTAACTAGTCAGATGAAATGAGAGAAATGGGGGGTGGGAAGTATGGGGAAGGTGGACGATCAAGGTAGATAATATATATATATACTATACTCCGTACTATTACTTATGTACACCTACTCCTACTACTCCATATCTCCCCTATCAAACGCCACTTGAAATCCGGGGTAAATAAAAAAAAAATAAAAAAAATTCAAAATCAAAATCAGGCACAGACGGCACCAATCAGTCAATTCGGTGAGTCTCGGGAAGTGCCGTCGGGACTTTTCGGTGTCAACTGTAACCCTATGACGCTGTGGCTGAGATCCGTCCAGAGGACGAAATTTCTCCAGGAGGCAATGGTTTTTATGGTTGACCCATGGTCGGTTATACACATGGATAAGAGAATCAAAAAAAAAAAAAAAAACACAAACGGAGCACTGTCGTCCACCACCAATGAACGAACCTTGTGGATCCACCGGTAGGGCGCCACCAAAAAAGGTTCTCCCAGCCCTCAACTTTGCTGCAATGCGACGCACGGCCTGCAACCTGTCCTGAGCGTCCGGATTGAGGGAGGGTTAGTTACTACTACTAATACTACAGTAGTAGCTATGTGCTACTTATGCATCTTGGTATGTAAATAAAATCATCATCCATTATCCATGTACGAGTAAGTCTATACAACACGTCTATATAGTAGGTAATATATAGCAGACTATCAAATCAATAACAGACTTTTTTTCGCTGTTGTCGCGCAGTAGCACCACATAATCATCATCACCATCACCATCAAAAAAGGTATTATTGCTTGCTGTCAAATCCCTCAGATCGTCATAGCTCTTACCTCGCCGGCTCCGGCATGCATTAGTTGTCTTTTCTCCCACCTCCCCCGCCCGTCCTCTTTCCTGGCCTTCATTCCTCTCCGCTTATGCAAGTCGTGACGTCGTCGTGCGCGGCCAATTTTCATTATTTCCATTTCCGTTTCTGTTTCCTAGTAGTACTCAGTTCGTCTCATTCTCATCTTCCCTAGTGGCAGCTGCGGGCGCTTCCCGGACGACGGCCACATAGATGGCGCTTCCCAAGATCAGACCAGATCCCATCCAACTCAAGAGAGACAGAGTACTTCCCCACACAACGCGGTCATAAAACAAAGCAAAGACCATCTGCATATATATCATAGACGTGGCCCGCGATCCGGACGAGCTGCGCGATTCCTCCTTTGGTTCACCATTCCCATCGCTTCCATATCGACGATGCTGTTCCGACGTCGACAATTTCCTTGGCGGAGGCACGTACGACAGACCAGCGGTTAAGAGGAACTGCAGCAGGAACCCACAACCACCAAGACTCAAGAGCAGCGTCCATTCTAAAGGGGTGCCCGGCAGTTCCAGAGCAATAGAAGGCATCACCAGGATGGCCACGGTCGACACAATGGTCGTGAACGAGGAAAAATATGTCACAGACACTAGCGGATGACAGCGCTGTCCGATCATTCGGATAGTTGAGTACGCACAGGACGCCCCCATGACTCCCATGAGCGCCATGACGATTGCTAGAATATGGTGATATTCATCCTCTGAACCAGGCTGCTCCCCGCTGCCGGGCTCTCCGGAGTCGGGGGGATTTCCGTTTGAAAAAAGCGAGAAAGGCCGTGCGATCAGAACCACACCAACTAGCGACACCACGCCAGCGAGCTGTTGCTTGCGTGTGAAGGACTCATTGGGAATGAACAGAGAGCAGGCGTAGCAGGTAAGGATAGGCGCTAGAAAAGTTAACACTGTGGCTTCCGACAGTGGTAGGTATTGAACGGAGTAGTAAAGCCCATAAACACCAAAGAAGCCGCCGGCTGCACGAAGCAGAAGAAGATGAAGTACAGGGCGGGTCCCAAACGGGTGAGGGACTTTGGTGTACCACATGTACAGATAACTGACTATGACTGTGATGGACATGCGGGCGAACAGGATCTGTTCCAGTTTAGTACGAGATATTTTTTTTTATAAAAGCCGAATGATCATTCATACCTGAAAAGGATGAAACCCTTCTCCATTCCTTCCCTTTCTTTCTAAAATTTGAGTCATGACATTCATGGAAGCCCCGAAGAACTGAGCCAACATGACAAGGATCATTCCCTTACCCTGGAGCCAGAGTTCCTGTGCCGAATCCCATGTCGTTTCCCACCATGATGATAATGATGATGGTGACGGTGACATTGGCGAGTTTGATCCGAGCAAGGGTCTCCGTTCATCTTCATCTTCATGGGTGTTGTCTCGGCGCTTTCTGCTCCAACCGAACACCGCGGAGAACACGCTGCGAGGGTCGTCGGATTTGGCTACCGACTCGGACCTGACATCCTCGACAGGATGCTGGTTCTCATCCGGACTAGACGCCGACGGACGCGTCATATTCAGTCGATGTGAACTGGTATTTAACCCTTTTCTTGTCTCCTGGGGGTTTAAGAACCGAAGAAATAGAGGAGAAGGAAAAAGAGGTAGGTATAAAGTAGACTGTTTTAAGCAAAGAAATCGGGGTTGCTCAATGACTAATGGATCTCCTCCTGTATTAGTTAATCAATCAATCAATTAATTTATTTATTTATTCATTCATTCGTTTATTCTTTTTAAAGAAGATACTGAGAAAATAATAAAAAGAAAGTCAGCTGAATTCGTTTCGAAGCTGAACAAAAAGAAAAGAAAAGAGAAAAAAGAATAGCGAACATTTCCTCCAATGTGCAGCCGCCGTGTGACTTTTTGGAGCGCTATCGGCGTCAAATGATGTTTGACGGATAGACTAGAAATGTGGGTGTGGATCGGCATACCCACTTTTCTACATACAATTTTATCCAGAAACCGACAGATATACTTAATCTTATACCACAAATCGCTCAAGTCTTGTGAGGGAAAAAAAAAAAAAGTACATGGTGTACAATAACAGTACTTGTCAGATTCAAAGAAACATGAATCTGATAAGTCGTTGGTATAATAAAATACAGTACAACAGAGTTAGCACTCTGGACTAACTCGAATCTATACAAATGTGAAGGTATCACCTCCCTTCTCCCGCAGCATATTGCCAACTCGGTTGCTTCCAACGATCCTCTCCAATTTCAGTGCATCCCACTTGGAAAACAGTGCGCGGACACCTCCCTCGGCGGCCTCATCGATCGCTGCCGGATCCATACCCAGAAATCCAACAATTTCCCCCCAGAATATTGGGTTCTCTGGCACTCCATACATGATGACACGCTTGACTCCACGGATCTGGTACCGCCGGAAATGGTGGAACCTTTCTGTATATAACAATACGGAGTGTCGGCCATTCATAAAGTGCGTACGAGCTCGCATGATGTCTCGAGTGTCCGAGTATTCAGAAATCGCCCCGAAGGAGATGTTCGTGGTCTGCGCGGAAGTAGCAAAATAATTGCGTACACGGACGAAATCTAGGTACGACGGGATAAATATCAAGGTTCCACCGCTATTGTTCCCCCGCCCGGATGTGATATTGCGGACTAAAGATGAGAGCACGGTCGTGGTGAAGTGCTTGAATCGCGCGTCTGGGTCTTTCACCGGCGAGAGACTGTCGAAACGGGAGAAGGTCTGCTTCACAGATACTGGGAGTGGGATCTCGGAGATTGTTCCAGCGTATACTGGTGTCATCCTGATCTTACCAGAGACGTTCAGCATATGTGTGGAGAAGACCGAGTTGATCTCTGGGGTAATAAAGGAAGCCAGCATGATCATTTGGCGGACATATCGTGCGTTGTTGTCCAGGTACCATGTTCGCACGCGGCTAAAATCACAGCCGTGCGCCTCCCTGGGCTGTAAGTTGAGATGTTTAAAGATATAGTCGACGTGATCCCAATTCTGCATGAGAAGGGCATCGGCTTGATCCACTATAACGACTTCAATAGAAGACAAAAAGTCATGGTCACGTTTCTTCGCGCTATAGTAAGTTAGCATGTGCTCTAGGCTATCATTAGCGAGGACGCTCTCGGGGAACCTACTCAGCTTGGTCCATGATCGTGCGCAAGCCAAGTGGGCTGGCAAGGATCATATCTGAAGCGTAGAATTGTGCAAAGAATTTGACTGTCTTTCTCGTGAATTTGAGGCCTAGCCGGAACATGTCATCGTCATTTCCACCGAATAACTCTCGAAAGTCGTCCGGTTTACTCTCCCAGGACTTGTCGTCCGTTGCAGAGAAAGTGTCCATGAAACGCTTCTTGTTTTCTTGCTGCTCAGGTTGAAAGAGCTGGGTGATTGACTCGACGACACGTACGCAAGCTTGTTTAGTCGGGAGAAGATACAGCACCTTGGGTCTGGTGAATCCTTGATCCCGCAGATCAAGGTCGGCATCTTGTTCCTTTGCGACACGAGCGTTGTTCTTGAGTACACGGTCTCGGGTCTTCAATACATGGTTAACGGCATGAACTGCCAGAATGTCTCGTAACTGGGCCGAGTTAGACGATTTTCTGGCGCCATACAAGACGTCTTGATAATCAAAGATGTACGGGGCGAGTTGTTGGGCATGACCGCTGATCTGGGGGATATGCTCCAGAGCAGGCGCCTTCAACTTTTTCTTGAGCTGTAGGATAGTAAGCAGCTGACTCTGTTATCCACATACTATCTGGTCGTCGGATAGATATGGCTTACCTTTAAATTCGCGATACTCTTCAGCGCAGGTAGGTATGAAAGATCGTTTCCCGTATCAGGAGCAGCGCGCACCAATTTCAAATCCTCGGGGAGCTCTTTCTTTACAGTTTTCCATTTATTATCCCCTATAGCCTCGATTTTCTTAGGCAGTTCGTCTTCTTTTTCCCCCGCGAAATGTGCCTCAAAGGGGTCACTATCTGCTATATATTAACAAGTGGGTTCTCTTTAGCCATATAGACTGGAAAACTGTACCATCTTCATTGTCGCTGTCGGCTTGACCATCGGCATCAGCCTCATCTAAGTTATCTTCTTCATCAGAAGGTTCCTGCTGCTGCAAGTCGTCATCTTCTAGTAATTCCTCTTTGTTGGCGGCGACGACAGTGTCATTCCGAGCTGCTCCTCCTTTATCATCTCTGTGTTCAGTCTTCCTCTTTTTGCGCGCCGGCCCTTTAGAGTCAGCGGTTGTATTGAGTAGCTGAAGCAATTCGTTATATGGACGGGCCGACTTGTCATCTTCGTCCTCATCGCTGTCTGACGATGCATCGTCCATAGGACCATCATAATCCATTTCATCTCCAAGGCTGTCTTCGAACTGACCCTCCTCTCCGCCTGAGGATTCTTCTGACCTGGGTAGGCTGGTTAGCTTGACAAAGTGAACCCAATGGGAGAAGCTTACTCTATCTCGTCTACCCGGGACGTTGTGAAGCCATTTCTCCTCTTTACAGGAGCTCCGGCTCGGGCTCCACGACCCTTAGGACCTCTATTCCGAGGGGGAGCCATTTGTGAAAGAAGATATGCACCTGAAGGATTGGTATTGCAGCTCTGAAGGCACCAGACTTTCTGGTCTTTTTTTCCCGAATTATTTTTTTTCTCCCTCTCTTTGGGGTCGGGGAGGCTTATCTTATCTTAGCGCGAAATTCCCGCCGCGCACACACAATTTGAGCCTCGCAGAACCTCCGTCGGCGCAGAGTCTAGCGGGCGGAAGAATTGATAAAAAAAAGAGAGCTACTCTCCACCACGCCGAGGAAGATACCAAGTGAAAGAGTTGAGAGCTAGAGAGAACGGTCATTCGCGCATCCAACACTTCTTACCCACCATGGCTGAAACTGATTCTTTCCTTCACCTTGCTCGCCCTCTGGGCCCGATGGCAGTGGGGTCTGCACCGACAACCGCCCCTCTGAATGTTGTCATTCATCCTCAGGTACGTTTGCTTTATCGGAAGGATAACTACAGGATGGAAGTGCTGATCCCCCATGGCAGGCTCTCTTCTCGATCCTTGATCATTCCCTCCGTCGCAATGCCGACCAGGAGCGTGTCATCGGAACCCTGCTAGGAACCAGGTCAGAGGATGGAACTGAGGTGGAAATTCGTACGACTTTCGCTGTTGGACACACTGAGACGACAGATCAGGTTGAGGTCGACATGGAATACCAGAAGCAAATGCTTGCCTTGCATCTCAAGGCAAACCCGAAGGAAGTGCTGGTCGGTTGGTACGCCACTTCGTCGGAGTTGAACACCTTCTCCGCTTTGATCCAGAACTTCTACAGCGGACAAGGTGATGGAACTTTCCCTCACCCTGCTGTCCACTTGACTGTCTCTACCGAGCCTGGCAAGGATGTTGAAACCCGCGCCTACATTTCTGCTCCTGTCGGTGTGACGGCAGAGAGAGCCGCCGACAGCGCTGCCTTTATCCCCGTCCCCCACGAGATTCGCTACGGCGAGACTGAAAAGAGTGGTTTGGAGTCTATTGCTGCCGCTCGCGATGCTGAAAGCCGTGCTGCGAACATCTTCACCGATATCGAGGCTCTTGAGCGTGCCGTCGAGGAGGTTCTTGGTATGATTGACCGCGTTTCCAAGTATGTCGAATCTGTCATCGATGAGGAAGCTCCTGCATCGACAGCACTGGGCCAGTTCCTTCTCAACGCTCTCGCTTTGGCGCCCAAGGTTGAGCCTGCCGACATCGAGCGGGATTTGTATGTTTTCCCAACCCCTTCCGATTTTCACCCTTTATCATGCTGGGTTGCGCAATACGTCCTAATGCTAACGATTTTTACAGCAACAACCACATCCAGGACGTTCTGGTTGTGTCCTACCTGGCCAACACCATCCGGACACAGATGGAACTGTCCAACCGCTTAGCTACTGCCCAGCTCACCCTTGGCGGCGAGTCCGGCAATGCAGAATCCGGCCAGCGCGGAGGTCAGAGAGGTGGCAAGGGAGGCCGCGGAGGGCAGCAGCGGACTCAAGACCGAAGTGGAGAGGAGGCTCGCGCGTAAAGAGGGAACGTAAAACCAAGGCTATCCATGAAGACACCTTTTCTTTTCTCTTTACATCTCTTGTCGCATCCAATTTTTACTTCTCGCATCTATTATCCCACTACTCTGTTTATCCCTTTTTTCCTTGATATGTGTCTAGGGTTCTATCTCGTCCAGGGTTATCGTTTCTTGTGGAAAAAGCTTGTTTTCAGTTCTGCTCCCATCCTTGCCTCTCTGTTATGGCATTTATGACATTACATCTGCGATTGTTGGGGCAGTGCGAAATCGAATGGACGGACGAAAGCAAAAAGAAGTCAAAAAAAAAAAAAGAAAGAAGGGACCAGAAGAGCATGGCGTATGGGAGTCAATCTGGCTTTGTTCAGAGCGATTGAAAAAAGGAGCTGTGCAAAATGGGAAGAGCAAGGGTTTGAGACCCTTTTATGACAGGAGCAGATCGGCCTTATTTGCTCCGATGATATAGTGTAGACTTGATGATTACGAAGCCGGCTTTTCGTACCGGCATGTCAATCATGATGAATGGACATATGTACTGAACCAACGAGTATCGGAGCTTTTATCTGTAGAAACCGGGTGGGAAGATTAATGTCGTCATTTAGTAGCGCCTGGCTTGCTGAAAGGACCGCTTGATATCTGATGTCTTGAGCTCTCAACCTAAAGATTAGAGATAATTTTCCCAATAAACGCCCTTCTAATAACAACAAATGGTATCCCCTATGTTTAATAAATATTCGTAACCTAAACCAGAACGCCCGAAAATAATGCTGGAGTAGAACGACGTTGAAAGTAGCGAAGCAGGGTCAACGGCAACTGGGTCAACCAGTCTTTCTCTTCTTCGAAACCGTCGTGTCCTCCGTAGCATCCGAGTCCCTTCTAGCATTTCTCTTTCCTTTTCCCTTGCTCTTCTTGCCATCGGTGCCTTCGCCTAAATCTTCGAGTTCCTTTTTGCTAGCATCCTTCAAGTTCCCAACCTGATCATCATTCTGATCGAAGGCCTTCCGAGCTTCCTTTAACTCGCGCTCCATGCGCAGTAGCTCCTGGACACGACCAAGCTTGTTGGGATCACGGCGCAACGCGAATCGGAAGTCGTCCACCTTGATCTTCTGACGGCGCGAATAGGCGGCATACTGAGCTGCGCCGTGGCACATCTCAAGGACAAAATCGGTAACAATCTCATCGAGCACACGAACTGTTTCGGGAAGAGGCTCCGAAGGGAAAGACGGGTGCGGGCTAGGATCACCATATGCGAGAAGGAGGAGACGCACTATCAAATGAAAACATAATGATGTAAGTAACAGAAGTTGCGTAAAACGAAAGAGGCAAAACCTACATTCAGCAGCAAAGTTCATCTGACCCTTGTGCCTAGCGGCACGGGCTCTTGGTTCAGCCATGGTGCGCTTCTTGTGCTTACGAGATTCGGCTTCTGGGGTAGTAGAATCCGCGTTCTCGGCGGTATCGGGTTTGAATGCTGGGCAATAACCGGCGCGGATTAGAGCTATCTCTTGAGGGTTGAACGGCCAGGGAGGGGCAAGCTGGCTCGACACATGGCCAGAACTTGGCTGTCGATGCGGACCGGATGGAGCTGGAGTTATCCGCTGCACTGGACGTAGAGGCGGCGGCAGAAGCCTTCGAGCTCTACCGGTAGGCGGTTTAACATTGGGACGGTAACTAGGGCGGTGAGGAAGGTTGGCGGACATGAGAGGCAGAATTTCTGATTCACTGGACGGAACGTGTAGACAGATAGTATGATAGTATCTGGGTCTCTATTAGCCTTTGATTTCTCCTGATCGTTCTAGAACTTGCACGGAAACTGGTGTCTATTAAGTCATTGGCGTTAAGTTCAAGGAGGAAAACAGATCAATCCCAGGCTGTTCAGACAAGATGGTGAGTGAATGAGCTGTGAATGAAGCCTGCCTATCTAGACAGGCTCGACTTCAATGGGATGACTGCCGACTAAGAATAATCCTTCCTGTAGTCTGCCTTGTTCAACTTTCAATCGCTCCTGCTGGTTATCTTGCTCGTCATCTGCACGAGTACCTATGCCCACTCGATCATGCCAGGAATTATGGACCGTAATCAACATGGGTAGGTTCTATCTCCGGTCTTCCCCAGGATGTCAACTAAGAGATGAGACTAACACCCTCATCTGAAGCTTCTTCGGGGTATTCTGGAAGTGTGCACGAATCGGTGAACGGCTTAGTCCGTATGTCAGTATCTGTTGCATCTTGATGGCTGTGAGTGCTTGACAGCATCATATGAACATACCAAGTTGAGGTAACAGTAAGGCTAATATACATGAGCTAGGTTTCGATCTTCTTTGGCGGTTGAAAGCTTCCTGGTTGCCCCTGTTCCTCTCTGAACAGTCCTTCCACTATTGATTTTTATGAATGAAGACCTTACCAGCAATCGGCGTTAAAGAACCTTTTTTGGTGGTTTGGGCATTATTATATCTTGCAGGGAGTTCGCATTGTTATTTACATGTGTACTGTACATAAGTGATATTTTACACCAAGGATATCCTCACATATATCAATCCCCCGTGCTAAAGATGACATTCTTTTCCGGAACCCACGCTCTAAATGCAAGAAGATAGAAAGACACTAGAAAATAAATGGTTATATAAGGGTATCTCAACGAGTAGACTCCTTTCTTCCGCGCAGACGTTGCAAGCCTTGCTCCAACAGATGCTCATCTTCATCCAATTCATGCTCCGCCAAAGGCCTCTGATCAAAAGAGGTCATCATATCGTGGCGAGCGTCCGTCGCCTTGTCCAGTTCTTCTACCGCAATCCATAGGCGCTCTGGATCTTGCAGGTAGCGGAGACATTTCATTGTATATGAATCCATAGAATAGCCTTGAGCTTCCATGGCCTTAATTGACTTTGCAACCTCAGCAGTATTTTGCGCGTTTGCATAGGTGTTGATGACTGTGTTCCAGGTAACCTGGTTATATTCTACTCCGTGTTTGGCCATCATCTCCCGAACCTTCTCCGCGGCAAGTGGCTGTTTATTGAAGGTGAAGGCGCTCATCAGGATTGTCCAGGTCCGAACTGATGGTTTGCCATGAACGGTAACCCCATCCTCGAGTTCTCGGTCTTGGTTAGAAGAGTGCAGCATATCCTCCACTAGTCGCACAGCCGGTCGCAGCCCGCGAGGATCATCTCGAAAAGCTACCAAAAACTCGTTGTAAGTATGGTCAGTGGAGGCTAGTGGAGCTATGACTGGGTGGTCCCGTGAGACAAGAGCTTTGAACTTGGTGTAGACGCGATGAGCGTGGGATATGCGTTTCTGGCACCGTAGATAGGTCGCGATCATCAGGTACAGAGCAATGAGAGATGGTTTGAGATTATCACCTCCCGGGGAAGGGGTGTATTCTGGCGGAATGATAGAAAGCTCCTTTAACGGCGTGATGTCATATAACTGATTGTACATATCCAGTAGTGAGTAAAAAACTCCATTGGGGTCGTCATTTGGATCATGGTGCTTGGCATTGAAAGTAAAATGAGCGTGAAATATCTTGCTCGCGATCCAATCGTTCTTCTCAAGCCCACGTGCTCTAATATCTTGTATCAGTGATTGAACACGCTCTCGATCACCACGAGTCACCGCGTCGCTAAGCAAGGTTAAGTAGGTAAACGAATCAGGCTCGAGCGACTGCCGTCTCATGAAACGGAACATATCGAATCCCACCTGCGGATCACCGGTCTTGAAAGCGTTGGACAGAACTATATTCATCATATCCCGATCAGGTCGTACCCCCATTTTGAGAAGTTTGGGTAGGATATAGAAATTGCGCCCATTCGGAGTATCCTGAACAGAGTCGAGTAATAGAAGTTTGCAACAGTGACGCATAACCCCTTGAGAATCCATCAAAAAATTTTCCTGCTCCCGTCTCCGCACAAGTTCAAGTGCCTCTAATGATTTATAGATATCCCCGAGTTCCGTAAACCGGCGCATAAAGCAAAGCCACGTCTCGGATACTATATGATTCCTCCTTTCATCCACGATATCCCAGGCATGGTAAAGCTCCTCGGGACCAGCCTTCTTCAAGTAGAGCCGGACGCCCTTTTGCGTAAGGTGCGCAACAGGCCAATTGCTTGGGTCTAGACAAGTAAGCAAAAGGGACACATATGTGTGGCCCCCCTTTTCCCAGTGTTGAAATTCACCGGCATGGTGTTTATCTAGAAAGAGGAAGCAATCCGAAACCATGACGAACAAAGGCTTGTCCGCACTTTGGCAGGTGACAAGGAGAAATTCCAAGGCCAGACGCGGGGAGTTTTGTAACAGCCATAATGATAAACACTTCCAGTGTAGAGCCTTTGCGGATTTGTCCAATGCATCCCAAGCCTCACGGAAGCTACCCAAGCAGTCTGTTTTGATCTTCTCGAGTAGACTTAAATCGGCATCATCGAGCATCAACGACGCGGGAAACCCTTGTATATCCATGTCGGAAAGCGCAGCTCGATATATTCTACTATAAGTGGTTCTCCATGATTGGATATCTTCGCGGTCGTAGCACAATGATCTCATCTTTATGCTCTGATGAAAATCGTACGTCTCCTGACTCACCTGTCTCGTCTTGTAGATATACTTCGCCTTACCATCGACCATGGTACGGGTAGCATAGACGAATTTGCGCTCTTGATTATTGTGACCCTTTTCTCCAGATGACGATATAGAAGGGCCAGGAATGCCATCCAGATATGATAATGATGAGCCCCCTGCGATTTCATCCCCGTATTCCTGGACTGGATGAGGAACTGCATCTTGAAGGCTATGAGCTTGGACCTCAGTCCGGGTGTCTCTCGGTTCGCGAATTAAAGCTGGATTAGAGTCAGGCCGAGGGTTTAGATCGTTGCCAACAGAGTCATATGCACAATGATGTGTAATATTCGATGTCGACGCATGATTCGTGACATGTCGTGCTGTTGGAAATTTCGCACTTTGTCGATACCAATGCCCTAGACGCAACCTATGTTTCGGAGCACGGGACGGCAGCCCGGCGCTGAAGCGGGAACGCAGGAGATGATGGGGACAAAATGACATTCAGGATTTCGTGATCTCGTGATCTTTTGCATTGAACATAGACGCCAGCAGGATAGCAGGAAAAGCGGTTCACGGACGGGTAAGTAGATGTTGGTCCTTAGAAGCTTGAGAAGAAACTAATGCCGATTTATCACGGCCGCCGGATTCTGTCGCTAGTGTGGCTGATGCTCCCGGAGTGTGGCGCACCACTTCCGATAACATTGTCAAGAAATACTTAGTCGGTGGGCGATGCTGAAAATTGTCGCATACTTTTGACCCTGAAACGGGGGAGCTCATTCTTTTCCCTGCAACGCTTGCTTTACCTTACATCATCTACCTATTAATATATATCGAGTTTCCCAATATGTCATCCAACCATGCCACTCTCGACGCGGCGGCAACAGAACGCAAAGCTCGACTTGCAAAGCTCGCGGCGCTTAAAAGAAAGCAACCAGAGCCAGAGCCATTAACAGAATCCAACGATAAAGATGACGAGCTGGAAGATGCTGCCCCCGATGTCACAACCAAATTTCTTTCCGGCAGAAACTATGACGCAGAAACCCGTGGCCCGAAATTAGGATTTGACCAGGCCCCCGCAGACGGACAAATTACGGTGGAAGCACAGGCTACGGAGATAGCTAAGGCCACTGCAGAACAAGCCAAGAAGGATGAAGAGGCGGATCAACCTATAGATCTCTTCAAACTTCAACCGAAGAAGCCCAATTGGGATCTAAAACGGGATCTAGACGAGAAATTAACCCCTCTCAATGTGAGGACGCAAAACGCAATCGCAAGGCTCGTGCGACAGAGGATAGAGAATGCGCAGCGTGCGGCGAAGGATAAAGACGCGGGGGCTAATGGAAGCCAGACAGGAGAGGATGTAGGCATAGAGGGCGAAATGTTGGTTGAAGGCATACATGTACGTGAGAGGGAGGATGAAGATGAACGGAGGGAAAGAGAGGAAGATGACCTGGCATGATCTTGATACCCTACCAGAGGTGTGATTATAGGTATTTTGCGATCCTTTGTTCATTCTACATCTGGTTTTTAAGGCGCTCCCTGTTGGGTCTGGCAATACGCATCGAAAAGGCGTTGAGGACATTTTGCGTTATATTATGTGGACACCGATATCAATTGATATATGATTCATATTACTATAATACAGTTTTGTAGTGGTAGTCTTTTCCCTTTTCCTTGCGCGCACCCCCCTCCTTTTTTTTTTTTTTTTTTTTTTGCCATTGCTGAACCTCTCACTTGCCCGGGCGGCCGATATTCATGGCTTGGGTCAATGCGAGACGTTTGCTGTAGGGGCTGAGACTCCGCTCCCTTCGAGGCTGAGGTACTGTGTGGCCTCGGCTATGCCCAGCCCCCTCATCATGCGCTTGACTGTAACGGCCATCTGAATGACCTGAATGCCTGAAGGTATCTCTCGAAAGTCTTCCAGGGCGGTTGGGGTCATGCATCGTTTCAGGTGTCGCGGATCGTCTATCCCTTGCAATTCGGCCCTGATCAATGCTCTGGCTTCGAGTCCTATCTCTCCGGCTACCATCTCTTGACAAGTTTCTAGCTCGCCCACGCTCCTCAGGGCTAGACGCTCGACGCCTTCGTCTTGTGTTCCTGTCACCCGTCCATTCCCGTGATCCGGAACGAGTGCAGTCTTTTTCTCCGTATGAATAAGAATGAGCAGAATGGCTAGAAGATGAGTCGCTATACCGTCTCTTTCTCAGCTTCTCATGGTGAGAAGACGTTGACTTCGTCCCGTGAGGCTTATTTCTTGCACTGTATCCTCTACGGCGAGGTGAGGACTGTGAATGGGATCGGCTTGTAGATATCGTAGATACAGAGCTCACAGAATGCGAAGATGCTGACCTAGCTCGCTTTGATGTCTGGCCTTGATTATCCGGGGGACCTGATTCATCTATGTCTCTTTTACGGCCCCGCTCTTCTTCTCGCTTTGCCAGAAGATCATCGGCCACACCTTGCCTAAGAATAAGTCAGCGCACTGCATAAAAATTACAAAACAGATATATCATGGATTCTTACGAGCGCAATAGATCATTCGGAGTTTCCGCTGAAAGCTGCGGCCGCAATTTCGGATTCTGTAGTTGCTGTGTGCGCGAAGGACGATATTGGTACGGGCGTTCCTGGGCGCTAATCGTGCATTCATAGCTATAATGCCGTGTAACAGGTCAGCCAAATGCGAACTGACGACCGAAGAATGGTACATATCTCGTTTTAAGCATTTCTGACAGAGAGTACTGGCAGTCGCCTTAGTAGGGCCTCTAAGGCTGGGAGCATTCCGGTATCGATTCATGAACCCTGACCGTATACAGAGGGTAAAAAGGGCAGCGAAAAGGTCTATGACAGCTTACAAACAAGTGGTATATCAATATAATTCCAACTTGTATGAATATCAAACCTCTCTCTCTGTCGCGGCTGTTGATGCAAGGTGTGGGTCGGGGGCACCGTTAACCGCGCGGCTAACCGCCCACCAGCAGACAAGCGAAACCTGATCAGTTCTGTTTCGTTCCTTCTCAGCCCAAAAGAACAAAAAAAAAGACCACCATCATCGTCTCCCCCGTTTCCTCCAACTACAGCGCCGTTGCGGGCCTAAGCAGAGTCGTTCGCGCAGTACGACTTCTTCTAGTTTGGCTGGAAATAGGATACTGTTCTTTTTTTTTTTTTTCTTTTCTTTTCTATAGTCCGAGTAGGAGGAACCCCCATTCCCCTCTTTAAAACAATCAATGGGAAAAGCCATGAACAAGTCGCTCTGACCATCGTGTAAGATCAGTCACCTTTCTTGGATCCTCTGCTCTCTTGACGCTGTAGCCGCTGTCGGCTTTTGCACTTTCTCTTAGCACTACTGGACGGGCGCGGTCCCATTCAATACCAACCCACGGGACCTAACTTGCAATAGCTTTCCCTATGGCGAATTACGTTTTCAAAAGATATGCCGTCTTTCTTTTTGGGCTTGTGTGAAGTGGGATCTTTGAGTGGCTTATTGTCGTCTTAAATTTCGGTTTCGTCCTTGAGTGAACCCGCACGTGTGAAGTCCAGCTATTCAATTCTTCTCATCGGGTTTCTTACCATTCTTCAATTCATCTTTCCCTGCTCGATAATTACCAGCCGAAGGAAGGCCAGAAAGAAGAAGATTACGAAAATAGTGCAAGGTGTTGCTTGATAGTCATGGCATCCGAAAGTTCCCCAGAAGGGGAGCATTGTCTCTCCTTTGCAAAGGTACGTTGATTGATGTTCTACATGAACCACTGTCGCAAAGTAGATGATGGTGTCGCCCTTCTGACTTGCGCATAAGATCGCTGCTATGGCCTCACAGTCGAGATCGGAAGTTAACGTGGCATTTGATGAGAAGAATGGTTCACAGTCTGCCAGAGAGCCTGCATGCTCAGAATCCCAGGAGTCAAAACACGTCCTGCCGAGCCAAGTGATCTCGAATAAGGATGATGAGGTCAACGCCGTTGATCGAAGTTTCGATAACCTCCCGCGCACATTACAAGATGTTCATATTACAGAGAGGAAGGGCCAAGAGAGTCCCGACCCCCCGGCCGAAGTTCAACAAAACGGGTCTCTGAAACGGGAGACATCTTTCGAAGACGACCGTACACACCTATCCAACTCCTCAACCAAACCGACAAGTTTCGACTCAAAGAGTATGGCCTCGGTTACTACCTTCGCGATGGACGAGAAAGATTCATTACGCCCTGATGATAGTGCCAGTGTCCAGGCTGTTGACGAAGATGAATCCCTTTCCGGAATAGCGTCTGGTGCACCGAACTCGTTGACTGGGTCTGAATCCGGTGCCCGGGGGTTCAGGGATATACAGAGGGCCCGTGCAGTACTGCAAACCACCGGCCCTCTATTCACAGACGGTAGCCAGCGGCCAAACGGCGCTATGCTCCCTGACTCTGTTTCCAACAATTTTGTTATCGCCAACCAGGAAGTTTTTCGGAGTGGGCAGTCCATATCAATGCATCCATTTCCAATGGAACCGGATGAGAAACTTCTCGAGGCAATGAAGTCCCCGAAAGATCGTCTTTTGATTCTGCAACTAGAGGAAAAAGTCAGACATTTTATTCAACATTCTAAGTGAGTTGACGTACCATAGCTCGCTCTTATGTCTCATTCTAGCTAACATGTCACTGCAGGGAGCAATCCCTAGAACTGCCACCTTCCAATGCATTTGGGCGCCTGCTTGCCCATAAATTAGGCGATTATTACCATCTAACTCACTTCGTGGACAACAACGTCACATCAGTTCGACTTCATCGAACTCCGTTCACTCGGCTGTAGGGATCCCGCCCTTTTGAATGTACGAATAATGTATATATACTGATCGGTTTAGGCCCACGCCTCTCTCTGCTATACACACCGCAACAAACAACACCCCACCGCCTGCTATGCCTGCCATGAAAATCATGCGTCGTACCGACAGCGAGCGGCCTTCTACCGAAGGAAGTGCAGCGGCGAGCTCTGCATTTGCTTCAAAAACTGGGTCAGAAGCTGGTGATAGTGCAAATGACGGAGAGCGTGGCGGCTCTTCAGCAGGAGCTACCCCTGCCAAGGACCGGTTAACGCTCACCAGGGAAGAACGTGAGGCCAAGTATCAGGAAGCTCGGGAACGGATTTTCCGCGATTTTCCAGAGGCAAAGCCTTCCGATGGCGCAAATGGCGATCAAGGTACCAACATGTCCCGCTCGAGTTCGACCAACGGGCGTAAAAAAGCACAAAGGCAAAAGACGCCACATGATGACAGCTTTGAAGTCAGGTCTCAATTCAATGTCTATTACCCTGGGGTTCACTATCCGCATGGTCCTGGGCCCTATAATGTGGCCACCAATGACTCCTCGTTCGCCGGCCAGCCATGTATGGTGGGACCTGGTGTGAACCCACCGGGCATGGGTTATGCTCATAATGGCCAAAATGGGGCCATGTACCCTAGCCATATGAACATGGGCTCCATGCCTCATTATTCAATGCCCGTGTCTCCTCAGATGACCCCAAGTGGCCCGTGGCAGAACGGAGCTGTACCTCAGCAATCTCCGTACTCTGGATATGCCTCTATCAATCAGTCACCGGCTATGCCATCCACGAAATCCTCACCTGCATTGAACAGCTATCCTGTGCCCAACGCTGTACAATTTCAGCACACTCCGGGATGGTCCTCACCGCCATATCACGGGGGCTACCAGCAATCTACGCACCGGAACCAACCACCGATGCCATGGACAAATTACCCGTCTCAACCAGTCACCCCTACATCCTACCCCTATGGTCAATATCCTGGGCAACCCATGAACACAGGCAATGTAGGTGTTCATCCGTTACCGGGAAACTTCAATCGGTCCCCATTCAACCCTCAGACACGTTCTTTTGTTCCTGGCAGTACGTCCTTGGGACGGCACCCAAGCAAGAGTGGTCAGCATGGTATGAATTCATACCCTACCATGCAAGCTGGTGTTCAGCCTCAGTGGGCTGGGTATCAAGAAGCTAGTAAAAGTTTAGAGGCAACAGCGCCCGTGGCGACCAATGCTCCTCGCGGGCCACCTGCGGGTGGTAGAGACTCTATTGCGAAATGGGGGACGCCGTCCCACCTTCCCCCTAAACCACCGCCATCTGAAGTACCATCTGAGTTTGATATGAAACATCGGGCCGGGCCCACGACTGCTCTCCCTTACTCTGGAAACCCCCATCCGAATAATAAGAACGGCCCGCTCGTCGTGTCGGGAGGAGCAAGAGGCAACTAGTTGGCCCGTTCATGGCATTTGATCATGTATGACTCTTTTAGCCTACATGCTAGAGACACGGGTTTGGAGGAGGGGAGAGGGGAGGGGGGGGGCGCATTGACATATCATCTTAAAGATAGGGGTATTGCTGTTTCATGGCTATCTCTGGCAGATAGATGTGTGAGGGCAATGTTCTGCACTCAATGTGTCGTGCTGGAGTGATTTATATGATTATCTACAGCTTGTTGCTGTCACGTTTGCTAGATCCAGGCGGAGAAGAAGGTTGGAGGTAGCCCATAAGATACATAAATCCTTCCGAAACAATCTTCAAATTGAGGCATCTTCCAGTGTGAGAATATCGTAAGGTTCATATACATGTAGATTTTGAACAAAGTTTGAACATGAATCAACGCCTTAGTTTCGAGTACTGAGAATCCAAAGCCATTCTTCAAAGCACCATATCCCTATAAATGCACAAAGGCTGAAGCAATGCATTGTTTTTGGTCGTATCTCGGCGGGTCGCTGACACATGGTGTGGATAGACAAGCAGAGGATTGGTAGCGAAGGGCATCATAACATGCAGACCGGGAGACAACGCTGCAAATTCCAAATAATATATATACAAGAACGACAGGTATTGAAGGGTACCAGAAGGGTTTAAGTACTCCATCGATGCAACTGCAAGGTTTTACATGAGATCCGGCAGAAATCTATATTTAACGGGCAACTGGGCATCCAAAATATCTAACCCGACAGCCATGGTCTATATGCGCGTGAAGACTGATCCAGTCATATACAGCCATAACAATAAAGAAGCCAAGTAACAGAGGTTTCAGGAAGTCAAGTGCGGACATTCCCCCTTGGCTCTCTGGAAAGCGCCAGCGAACAAGTCTTGCATGGCGCAATAGTGGAACAGGATACCGCCTAGGACGGCGAAATGCCAAATATTGTGGCTACCACCCACGTAGTCGAAGAGACCGGGGCGCCACCGTTCGGGTACCTGAGAAGCGTAAATGCACGCCCCAACGAAATACACGAGAATGCTTTTCACGACGGGTGCGTAAAAGTATAGACACCAGGCAAAGCCTCGGGTGTAGGTAAGTTGTGCCAACGGCGCGAAACCTGTTAGGGCAAGCGTAACGTAGAATGCCACACGAGCCCAGGCAAAATCGGCGCGGTTGAAGGTTGGATGCCAGGGGAGAATGACACCACCGATCCCGAGGGACATCGTGAGAAGAATGTATGTCCATCGTGATACGGGTTCGCAGTAAAACGCAGTGTATTCTGTCGTCACAATCGAAGCAGCTACTAGCATTGAGATGCCAGTATAGTCCACGCAGGCGAAGCGCTCCATCAGGCCCTGGTTGGCAATGCTATTCATGGTGTGCCAAAGAGTACTGCAGACTAGACACTTGCATGCAGCAAAGAAGAACACCGCCGCAATCAACACATCTGTCTTGGTGCTCAAGTGGAAGTTTGGATTCAAAGGATAGAAGTAGAAGGCGACTGAGAGGACGATGAACAGACCGATCAGGTGAGACCAGATGTTGACTAGTTCATTGGAAAAGGTAAACATGGACGTGAAGCATTCTACCTTGGAATGTGTGAACCGATACCCTTCCAGAATGTGCGGGTTCACACGCCATGGATGCGGAAGATCCGTATAGGCAATCAGGCGCTTCTCTTGAGCTAGCGCAATGGCCTGGTCGATATTCTCACGCAGAGCATCCTTGGCTTTCCGGGCGCGTTCCATTCCCTCATCGACCACTTCGCGGGCGTGGACCAGCTTCGAATCCACTGCCTTCCACCCGTCATCCAAGGTGCCGTAGAAGCCACGGTCTCGAACCGCATGCGCCCGAGCTTCCAACTCCGACAAGAACGACTCCATCAAGCGAACTCCCGCTTGTGCCTTTTGTTCCAGTGTCTCTTTGGTTGCGAGAGCATCCTTGTAGCCGTCTTCAAGCGTCTCCACTAGGATCTTGGCCCTCTTCTTGCCTCCACCCATGAGTTCTCCAGAGGCGTAGGAGCAGGAATCTCTAACCGCCTCAAGCGTTGCATAACCTCTGCGTAAGCTGGCATCGATCTGTACCATGTGTGACCGGCGATAGTCTTCAAGCCAATGCAGCCGTCTCTCTAATTCGGCCAGAAAAAGTTCCACCTAGAGAATCGTTAGGATGTTGAAGTCGAAGAGGAAATAGCAGTGGAGATCATTACCCTCAAAAAAACTGCATCGGCATCGTAGTCGCACGACAGTTTTCTTGCGGCATGGAAAGAATGCCTCCGCCGACGATCTCGAAGCAAGGCTGTCTCCTCGGGCGGCGTGGCATAAGCGCTGGAGACCGCAGCATCATCGGGATAAGACTCGATGGTCACTGATTGAGCTGAGCAAGCCATAATGTACCTCTTTATTTTATTTTATTTTTTATTTATTTATATTATTTTTTTTTCCTGTTTGCCCAATTCCTCAGGGGTCCGACCAGATCAAATCAGCATGACCTGGGAGGTAGACAAAAACGTTAGATCGTCTGAAGTGGATTTATGTTTGGGTCTCGGGTATCGGAATCTCGGCATTCATTCTAGGACTTGACTTTAGTACTTACAGGAAAGGTAAAGGAGTGGAGATTTGTTCAGAACCGATGAAGTCTCTCTTGGTTGATTATTCGCAAGGTGAAAAGACCGACGTGAGGTGGGTAAAGGAATTAAGAACGAAGTGAAGGAGGAGGTTGGAGAGAAAAGGAAAGGAGTGACTTTGGTTGAATAAAAGAAGAAGTGAAAGAAGAAAGAAGTGGGGAAGAGAAAAAAAGAGTTGAGGAGAAAGAAATCATTTTAATTTAATGGAATAAATTCTAAATAATTCAATTTCACCGCCAATAGATAAATAAATAAATCTAAAGACTTCAGTCAATATGGTTTATTTTGGTTTACTGTTCGAACCCCCCCCAACAAGACGATACATACTCCGTACATACAAAGGACCATAATTGCAAATATTGTATGTATGTACATACTCCGTACTCTGTATTGAATCAATCTTTCGGCCCATCAGCAATCGCATTGTCCCCACGTTTCAATTCTTATCGCCGCCTTCTTTCCCTTCTTCCTTTCTTTCCTCTGCCTAATCGCCACCACCACTACGAACCACCACCAAATCACTGTGCTCTCTGTGACCACACTTGCCCTCTTGGCCCAGACTTTCTTTCGACGACAAAGAATAAAAAAGTTTAACACTATGGCGGCTATGGCGGTTCGCGACATTGTGGTGGATCAATCTCTCCTACCCGTGCTCAATAGCAGCGCCGTGACCCGTGAACAATGTGACAAGCTCCTCGCATTGCTTGACCCGACCGGTGATTCCGCATCATCGAATTCTCAGGAGACCGTCCTTGCGGCATCGAGAGAACAGAAACAGTTGTTTGCGCTTCTTGCTCGACTCCGCGGTCTGAATCGCGAAGCCATTCTCCGCGTCCGTGAAACCAAACAATCGACGGCGGAAGCTCGCCAGGAGATCGACCGGTTACACCTTCAGCTGCAGAACCTCTACTATGAGCAAAGACATTTGACGGGGGAGATTGCGGCGTGCGAGTCTTATGAGTAGGTGGATGCCGACGGCAAAATTTGTCCACGCCGATCATGCTAACGGAGGCGTTCCTCCTCCTACCAGTCACAAATATCTCTCTCTTCCTTTAATACCGGTCGAAGAGTTCCTCACTCTTTTCCCAGAACACAGAGACTCGGACGCCCATGAGCTTATGATTGCTCGCATCAATCATGAACATGCGGAGCGGGAGAAATTGGAACAGGCGCGCCAGGAGCTTCTGAAGCGGAAACAAGCTCTGATTGCGGAGAACAATAAGCGCAAGGAAGATCTGGCCAGTTTGGATCAAGATCTGGAGAGGTTCATTGACGTATGTCTTGACTTGCCATCAACTTGGGTTTTTTCTTCTATTTCTCCCATCATGGGTAATGGTTTCAAAATTGCTAACCCGATCATCTTGAATAGGCTGCTAAACCAATCCAGAAGATTTTCGAAAAAGAGTATTAAAAACTAAAAGTTATGTTAGTCGTCTTGCATTTGGAAGTTAGCTGGTAACATCAGGCGCCTTGGTTGAGATACCCCTATAGTTCTATTTTACAGGAGGTTTTAGTACGAGACGGATTTAATGTTTAAGGGAATGTTCCGTACGGTTCTTTCTTATAGTACCTCTGGTCTTTTATCTACTCTATTTCGAATGCATTGCGATACGTTGGGTCTGCAGGCTTGTAAACAATAGAACGCTGGACTACTTACAGGAACAATTACTAGCAAGTACCAAAGTTTGGGAACGAGGAACAAGAAAAAGTAAAAGGCAAATTCCAAGAAAGAGTGAGACACCGAGGACAAAATTGTAGTTCTTGGAGGAAAATACCGCCGTTGTTGTTCTTGTTGTTAGAAGTTCCAAAGTTGAACTGCGGCTTTGAGTTGATCATCTTCCCCGAACAACTTGTCCTCCGCCGTCAATCCACTTGCACTTAGACATCCCACTCATCACCAGCACATTTCGCGGTTCGGTGACCTGGTTCCTCTGCCCCCAACCCAAAAAGCTGTTTGAAACAAAAGCATGTCCTGGTCATGACCAGCAAGAATGAAGACCCGGGGTCTTCACAGACTACCTCCGTTCTCGCGAACGACACTATGAGCTCTAAGACCGGCGCGCGGCGTCTCCCTCCGCCCGAGAAATCCGAGGCTATCCAAACCCGGTTCAAGGTCATTGCTGCCTTTTGGGCCGTCATCATTTTCCTGGGGTTTCCGATATGGTGGAAGACGACATCTATCTACCGGGCCCGACTGCCCATCCAAGACATGGTCGAGTGGGCAGATGGAAAGGTACTTTACCGCACATCCATCCTCGCTGATACAATGTACGAATCCTGACTGATTACCGCCCTACAGACCTGTCGTCCAGTCTTTCCCCTTGATATTCACTTCGAAACACCGTCCCTGCCAGGGTCGGAGGCACACCATCTCTTACGGACTACTCAACACACTCTCGATGATCTCAACGAATTCTCCGCTCATCACCTTCGCCTGAAGCTGTCAGAAGAGAACATCGTCGCTAGCCATGAAGATGTGCTAGAACAACTGGAGCCTTCTTTGAGTGGAAAAGCTGATACTGCGTTAACGGTTCGACTGCTACCTCAGGAGGATTTGGCGGCACCTCGGTCAGAGCTTCATCTGGACACGACCCGGCTCGATGTATATTATCCCCCAAGCCAGATCCCGCCGCCTTCCGCGTCAAACCCGCCCTTGTCAGCTTATATCGCTGGAGAGTTACAAAATCTATTCACGGAAGAAAAGGCCATAATTGCGCAGGTATTATCCGACAGCAATGTCGGGGGTGCAAACACACTCACCTCTTCCTCGTCGAATAATCAGCAGCAGCCTTCCGCTATTCTCAATTCCATCTCTCCACAACTCGCGGAGAGCATTACCAGGCGTCTGCGAAGATCTATGAAATATGCGGAAACGTATCACCTAGCCTTTTCTTTATTTACCCCCGGATCCGAACCTTCCTCGTGGGACGTCAAGACCGCGGTGGAAGAGTACATATCACCGCTCCTGCAGGCTTTCGCGCCCATAAACAATTTTACCGTTGATACTCAAGTTCAGCTCTATGCGATCTCTGCTCCCACTGCACCACTGCCCGAGTATGACGAAACACAAGCCGCCTGGACGCTGAAGAAAGAAGATCTCAGTGCATTCATCAACGCGGCTGAATGGCCCTTAAGCCCAAGTATCGGCAGTGGACCGACCATCAACTTCATTCTTTACGTTCCTGCGCCGTCACAGTCTCCCATGGTTGTGAAGGAGAGCAGCGCAACTAGCTGGATCATTCCTCAGTGGGGTGGTGTCTTCCTCTTAAACCCCCCTCTGTCGACCGCCGATCATTCATTTAATCCACCGCACCTGTCTCAGGAGGCTCTTCGTCCCGCATTCTTAACTTTCTCTCATCAACTCCTCACTCTTCTCGGTGCTCCCGCTACGCCAGCGTCTCTCCCCTTCCGCCTCCAGACCCTCATCCGGATCCGTGCTGCCACCCTCCTTCTCTCCGCCTCATCAACCATGGGCTCCCTTGCCCGTCTGACCGAGTCCCTTCCTTCCATTCCTATCCCAGCTAATGTAGCGACGTCCGTATCAACGACTCTGTCTCATCTCGCATCCACATGTGAGCATCTCCGCGAAGGTCGTTTCCAAGCGGCTCTAGCGGATGCTCGGGTGGCCGAGACAGAAGCAGAGCGCAGCTTCTTTGAAAAGAGCATGGTGGGCCAGGTTTATTTCCCTGATGAACATAAGGTAGCTGTTTATCTGCCCTTATTGGGCCCGATTGGTGTCCCTCTTATCGTAGGGCTTCTAAAGGAAGTCAAAAGGGTGGTTACTGGTCTAAAGGCCAAAAAACAACAAACATAGGCTTTCCCTCGCTATCTAATTGTATCATTACAGAGCCTTTCTCTTTTAATATGAATTTCTCTTTCAAATATAGGCTTTCACAGGCCGATATGTCAATTAACAGTGGGACAAAGGGGTTGTGTCTCAAGTACAGCGGGATTGTAACGAAGGAAGCCAATCTGCTAGAGGAGGCCAAAGAGTTCGGATAGAAAATAACTTTAGACACCATTGCGCCTTATCTAGACGCTAAGAGAAGGCATGCATGAGAAGTGCAAAATGGTAAGCAAAAGAAACCTGATTTTTATACGTTCCGTGGCATTTGTAGATTGAATCTACTCGCTTTAGGAGACTCGGCTACCTTGAAGCATGGATCGCCTTTTTTATTCATGAATCCGACCCGATCAAACATCTCCACAAAACCCTTGTCCGGTCCAATAGAAATATAGTGCCCCCGTTTCTGCGTCCGTGTACCCAGAAGCCCACCTGGAGGAGTGTATACCTTGATGCTCTCGGTACTAGGTTGCCGTTTGACCTGCGGCGGTGGGGTAATGGGTACCTTGGGTATATTATCCATGTCATGGACGACGCTTTTGGGGGTCGAGCCGAATAGACTTTTCACTCTGGTCCCTGTGCGGTGGAGCACTGAGCGTGAGGAGCTCCGGCGGGAGCGACCAAGGAGGAAGTCAGTGCGGTAGGAGCTCTCTTCGGATGGAATAGGGTGAGATATACTGAATGGTGTACTGCTGTAGACGCTGTTATGCCGAGGAAGCTTTCCATGAGAGTTCTCATGCCCAATTCGACGTCTTCTCCAGCAGAACATGGCCGCCGAGGCAAGTACGGCTCCAAATATGGCTCCCGGGAAAAAGCCGGCTATAACGGCTTGAGTTGGGAACGAAGGACATGCTGCTGCGACTGAAGCTGGGGTCGAATTAGCGTCGGTCAAAGGGGAGTTTGAAGCTGAGGGATTCGCATCAGAGGGCGATAGGGTTGTTGGTCTCAACTGATCAGTCGTGGGTAAAACGTCTGATGCCGTGAATGTGACCGAGACGGTTGAAGATGTCCCGGTGGTCGCCAATATAGGATTCCCACTGGGGGCTGGGGTTGACGCGAGATTATTGTCCATCTCACACAGCTGGTTTCCTTTGCATTTATATCCGAACGGACAACATGAATTGCCACACTTGGGCAGCTGATCATCGAGTCTGATGGTCTTGACTGGGTTTGTTGGGTGAAGAGTGGCATTTTGCAGCTGTATGTTGCAATTGATGGGTTCAATGTATGTGCACGCTTGACCCTTAGGGCAACATATGGCCGAGCTTGCATTGTCTAGACTGATGCAGGCTGAGGAAGAAGGACAGCAAAATGAGCCTGGCAGCCCAGCAGCTCCACATTTCTGGTACGAACTGGGACAACTGTCTGAAACCCGTAGTGCTAAATGGAAGGCATGGTTCGGTGTAATCATTACAGATATTACTGATATGAGGAACAGTAATGGAGGTCTTCCATAGACTAGATCAGCGAAAGTTGCTCTCGCCATACTGGCTATGTCAACAGCTTCTCGCGGACGCAAGTTGTAGGGTGATGGTCCTTGGAAGAGAGAGGAATAGGAGGCTGACTGATGTCAGATTAAGGCAGCTAGAGCAAGAAGACGAATTGACAAAGACGGATCGTTGATGAGAGGTGATTTTATTGATGGCTTGGGGGAAGGTTAAACAACGAGATACAGACAAAGGATGCTCTCCCTTGAGATCCGCATATTGCATTAGATAAGGCCAATCAAGGTATTACACAGCGTAAGCGCTGGATGCTGCCTAAAATACCTTTTCTGCTTCTGCTGAAGAGCCACTGGCTTGCAAGCGCCGTGGTCCCAGAATAGTGACAAGGCATGGGTCTCGGCGCAGCTGGCTTCGATATGTGTGGTCAAGGTAGATGCCAGCGGCCCCAACATCATGAGGTAGTCAAACATAGCACGACCTAGAAACTCTTATCCGAAAGCCTAATATTCGTCAGAGGCGAGAGAAGCTGAAGAAAGTTGGAAGCAGAAGGTGAAGAACCATAGTAGATCCTTGGTCCCTGATTGGATGGTGGACGGGGCTGGCTTACTTCATCGGCGCTAGTCCCGAAGTAGTAATGTCCAATCTTTGCCCGGCGATGGAAATTCTGCGGTTTTGCTGCTACTTCTCAGTGAGCATCTAAACTCGTCAATTGCCAACCATCATCATGCTTCCCCGACTCCTCCGGCCGCAGAGCACGCTGCGTGCTGTTTCCTCCCTCACACAGGTGAATCTTGTCCGATCTTTCAATGGCCACGTCGTCCCGATTTACTGATCGCGTGTTACGCTACAGAAACCCGCCTCCGCTCTCCCACGCTTCCAGACTCGCGGACTGCATCGTGTGCCTCAGTTGACTCACGATACCTACTTCAAGAACAATGGAATTCCAGAGCTTTTATCACCAGAGGCCTTCGACTTCGCTTGGACACAATACCAGACCCTTTTGATTGACAAGTTGAATCTTCTTACACAGGGTGAGCTTCATTCTCCGAGCGGCCGATAGAGCGCGAACCCCAAGCCATTCCTGATTCCGGAAGAACTACAAGTATACGGATTGCATACTGACATGGCTCCATTGCAGATACCGTCGACGCGGATGCGAAGCCTGGAGAACTGCTGGTCAAGTACTCCCGGCGCCCAGAGATGGCCTCCGTATTCAACTACGCCTCTATGGCTCATAACAACCATTTCTTCTTCAACTGCTTGGTGAGTTGGTGGAACTGCGTCGTGTAACTACGGACAATGATTTAATATCGTCCTCTCAATAGTCGCCCACCCCTACTCAGATCCCGGACAAGTTCGCCAAAGACATCGTTGATACCTGCTCCTCGATCGAATCCCTGAAGCTCGACTTCCTTGCAACTGCCAATGCTATGTTTGGCCCCGGATTTGTGTGGCTGGCCAAGAACCTCGAGAGGGAAGGATTGATGCACATCTTCTGCACCTACAATGCAGGCTCCCCTTACCCGGCCGCTCACTCCCGCCGGCAGCCCGTTGATATGGCTACGCACTCCCCCGACGCTCCATTGGGCAACCAGTTTGCTGGTGCGATGGGCGCTCACTCCGCGAACCAGAAGAGCCTGGCTCCTGGTGCCGTCGATGTCCAGCCCATTCTCTGTGTCAACACGTGGGAGCATGTATGGATGATGGACTACGGCATTGGTGGAAAGGCTGAATACCTCGAGCGCTGGTGGGATCGCATTAACTGGGAAGTTGTGTTCGATAACTACAACGCGGTCAGCTCGATGAAGGGCACACGGCATGCGGCCAACCGGAACCGCAGCCTGAGCATGCTATGAAGGAAAAATATTCTACAGAGCGGATACATATGTGGTTCCCCTCCTTTCATGTCTTGATAATTGTATTATATACTACATGGTTTGGCTGTTCAGGGTTTCTTTATATCTGGGTCTAATTGTACAGCGAATTGATCGCAAAATAGGAAAAAAAGAATGAGACTCAAATTAGAGACACCCCGACGCTGTAACGATCTATATCTAGTCGTAAAGATGCACCAAACTCCACGAAGCACGCCATATATGTAAATGCAAAACCCATGCATCCCAACACGGAACGCATACCCGCAAACACCCCTGTTTCCTTCAGGTAACCCAGACCAAGGAACTACCCTAAACTACTTCCTTCCCTCAACATCTCTGATCCTCTTCTCAAAAGCCTCAATCATAACCCCAGCCATCTGCCCCTCGACAGCACTCATCATAGCCGCATGCAACTGATTTCGGAACTCGAACCGAATCTCCAAGTCAACTTTCGTCATCGGCTTATCACTCTCCAACGGCACCAACTCCCATTTCGTGCTCAAATATTCGAAGATACCCTCATTCGCACCCGGGAAGTTCCCACCCGCCTGTCCGTCTTTTGAATCAATGCCGAACTTAGCCCCGCTGCGCGCTTCAACGATCCACAGGCTGCGGTCGCAATTGACCCGAGACGTGAACGTTTCGCTTAACGGCCCGTATCCGACAGTCAGGAAGGCGCGGGTGGGATCCCCTGTTTCTGGATCGCGGTGGGTCACTGTTGAGGCTGTGAGGAAGGGGAGGAATTGGGAGTAGGATTCCACCGAGGAGATCACTTTGTAGAGGGATTCCGGGGCATAAGGAAGGGTGCGGGTGGCGGCAAGGGTGCGGCCATTGTTATTGTTGTTGCCGTTACCGTTGTTTGAGAGTAGGGAGGAGATGGAAGGTAGATGGAAGGATCGGAGTGTTCCGAGGTTTGGTAGATGCGACGTTCTGGTGGGCTGTGATGATGGTATCGTTGGTTGTTGGAGATACTGCGACGGGTTTGCGAGGGATCGCGATGGTGATGACGGGCTTATGCGACGACTGAGATGTCGCGGAAGCACGGAGGGTCTCATGTTGTGTTCTCGTGTGAGGATCGGCGACAGTGATGTTGGGTCAATGGCTTAGAGAAGGAATGTCGGAGTCGTCAATTTTGGGGGCTTTTTTTTTTTCTTGTTCCGGCTCGGGGAGTTTATCCACGCGGGCTCGGGACGTGCCGAGGGTCTTCAAACAGAACTATATAAGGAATAGCGAACTATGTATGATGATAGCATGAGATACTGCCTTTTAATTGAGTGATGTCCTTTTCGAGCAAAAATCATTACGATCGCCTGTTCCGTTGAGTGTCCCATGTCACTACTGCGAGTTACTATCTACGATACCACTAAACGCAGGATCAGGATACCAAAGGTTGTTGTTCCTTGAAGGCTGTGCGGGACGCTGAACTTGTTCGTCCCACAAATGCTATCGACGAGTCAGAACTGAGTGCTAGAAGTTGAGATCCTGGATTATCGAACTTACCCAGTCGATATTAGAAGGAGCATCAAGCATCCCTTCGATCACGTCCAGAGATGTGAAAGAAGGTTCTACTACATCCAGCCCGAGTCTCTCGCTTGACGTAGAAATGGAGTATGGTGCGTTTGCCGCGCTCAAGCTTTCATACGATGGAGGCGGAGCTAAAAATGGCATGAGCAGTAGTCGTGAAAGCATGATGTTAATAGAATTTCTTACCGGTGTGCGTATCAACCGGTCGGTCATCTGAGTTGCCAGCTGCCAGTCCTTTAATCGGTTCTGCTGTACTCATACCCCCTTTCTTAACCCTGCGAAGCATGATTGTCAACGCAGCATATGCCTTCTGTGCATCCATCGATCGTCGGCGACTCTGCTCAAAAATTTGATGGGACATTTCTAAACTAGTTAGAAGGTCTTCGCGTCCTTTGATAACGACCGTTACATCGCTGTTCATGATCGGCTCCCTCGGAGGATCATAGGACAACTCTAGACAGATTATCATCGCAGCAAGCAGATAATCAGCATACTGGAGTGAATTTGGGAATTGCCTGTCGCGATATAAGATCCCTCCTGGTTGAGTTTCATGGTGCAAGTCTGCTTGGTGACGGAGTATCTCCTTGGATGCACTCATGCAAACCCATCTCGAATATGCATACCGGAGATTACTGTGGACTTCACCTAAATAACGTCGGTGGAGCACACAGCGAGCTTTTTGATACAATAGTTCCAATGTGTATCGCCGGAGAATCAGATCCGATGGGTCTGCGAATGATTGATCTACTGGCCGTATTCGAAAGTTAAAAGGAACCAGGCCATAGGCTTCCTCCAATTGACGGTCAATCTCAAGAATTTCGTCGTAGGTTACGGCTTCCCGCGAATATGCAAGATCTGAGATTTTGCCAAACACACCCATGATTCTCGATTTCGCCCGAATATAGGACGTAGTAGTGAGTTCAGACTCGGGTCGCGATGGTGGCAGATGCGTAGTTCCTTCGTTAAAGTCTTCATCGCATATATTGCGTGGCAGTTCGACATCATCTTGCCAGTCCTGTATCGTCCGTGGCAGACCAACTTGAAACGAGATTAAGGTGTCTAGTTGGCGCATAGTCGCCCACACACGTCTCCTCATTTCACCTTCATAAACGGAAATGCTGGGAAAATGGCCCGGATCGCGATGATACCCCGTCCGCATCGCTAACCTAATAGTGAGCCCAAGGAGGAAGGATACGCTGACTTGAGCATCATTGCTTCGATAAAATTCTCCTAATGTATAATAGAAAAGCGCCTCGACCTTAAACTTGCCAGGCTGCGTGTAATTTGACTGGACAAGGCACTGTGCGGTTCGCTTCCTGAAGGTACTAATGATGTCCCCGGAGTCCCCTAGGTAGACCGGTAAGGGCTCCCCCAGACGTTGTTGAATAGTAATTGACAGTGTAAGAACAGCATACAAGAATGCTAGCCACGAGAGAGACGTAGCCTGTGGTATTGACCAGAACAGATTGTACTGCAAAATAGATTACTAGGCGTTTGCAGCCACCCTTATTCGGATAGGGATTCTTACCTCCTTTTGAAAAGTGGGAATATGAATTGTGGCTATGGATTTGTTAGTCATGTTAGTAACTATGCAGGAGACACGCCAGAGAGATCCAAGTACATACGTAACACGGGTTCTTTGCTATTGATGAATTGTGCTATGAGTCGATCTGTTACCGGCCGTGGCGGAACGTCGGCTAATAAGTCTTCTTTGCTCATTGCTTTGTTCAATCCTAATAGAAGAGTTGGTGAAGGCGTATTGAGGTGACCGTCGTCAAGCGCTTCGTCATCTGAAATATCATTGCCTTCTTGCAAGTACTCCCGAACGCCGTTAATCTGCGAATGTCTCGTTAGAACAAGACAAGTAACTAAGGGGGGAATAAACAATGGAGACATTGGAGTCCACTGACTTCCTCGAGTATGGCAGTCCAGTGAGCACCGTCAATGTAACTCGTTCCAGTATTTTCCACTACCAGCTTACTAGACGGGTCTAGAGGGGACTCCTTAGGCTCGAAGCCCGTGCTAGTAGAAGACGTCCTTGGGATTACTCCGGCGTCAGTTCTCCTGCTCGTCGCTGGCCCATCATGTCCTTCTGGCCTATGAATAACATGGCTTTCTGCCAGGCTCTTTTTCTGCGTCAATGATAGAATCAGATTCTCGAGATGCTGCAGACGGTCCTGGACAAGAGTTGGACTCGTCCGGCCATGCGAAGTCCTCCCACGAGGACCCCGACCGACAAAGGTGCAGGAGAGGGCTTCACCTCTCTTCTTGCAGTTCGTGCACGGATATGTGCGACAGCATTTAAGTCTAAGCCGAGCCATTAATTATTGGGAATCACGCCTTTTAATGTGCTGAGCTGAGGGCTTACTTCCGGCTTCTGCAGGCTGTACAAGACAGCTGGACTCTAGTTCTCTTTTTCTCGGTGGATGACAACGAAGTGGTGCGAGTATCTTTAGGAGCGAAATCCGCCATGTCTGTAATATGGCATTATACACTGTCCTGGTGTTCCGATATGAAGTTGTTTGGGAACCAAAGCTCCTGGAGATAGCATGTTGGGTGTATGTAGAACGTGACTTCGGTCTCCGTCCGTTATCTCCGTCACTTCCGAGAGCCAGATTCATTAAATAAATTTACGTGGCCATCATAAATAATTTGGATTGATTATGCTTTTTTAAGATATTCTGAACTATATGAGATGTCTTTTTTACAATAAATAGCGTAGGATCTCAGCTTGCAACCTATGAAAAACTTCTCGATATTATCATTCTGCGTACAGTATAGGGGCGATTGACTATCTTAGGACGCCAGCGCCGGCGATACCCACTGCAGACTGACTGATAACTGGTAATTACTATCGGTGTTTAGGCATCAACCTAGTCCAATTACAGGCTGTGTTAAGAAGCAAGCTTTTAGTTCCTGGAAAAAACAGGCGGGTGACAAGTTTACTGGCCAAATCGAGGCCAGGTTTTTACATGTGTGGTCCACCGCCACGACATCGACCGAGACCTCGACATATATTCTCCTAGCATCGCAGAATTCAGAACCCTGGAGGACGATGAAGGTGTCATCGTGAGTTAAGAATCTTAAGATGCGTGGCAAGACATGGTCCTGGGTTGTCGGGACCGAGGCATCGTCTTCGGCCGACTAAGAGAAATTAGCCATTAGCAATGGCTGTTATATGGCCATGGGTCTGAGCCTATGAGAATTTCGCCAACGTACGCCCCACGTCGTGGATTAATTAATGCAATGTGATATCAGTGTTACGCGCCGCCATATATTATGTGCTGCAATATCTTAAGACTCGTCGGGGTCGTTTTGCGGATTCTTATAGGATGGCCCTGGAAAAGGATTCCACCGACGTTGAACTGTTGGCTGTCTGGTCCCCCTTGAGTAGCTTTCCTGCTGGTCACACATGCCAATCCTTAGGGGTTTTTTTCATGCATCTTCACGCATTCTGTCAGCTTGTGCTCGTCGCGAATGGGCCTACAGATACACTGTACTGGGAGGTGAACAGTCTTGACTCCTAGATTACTATATATAGCTTCGCTGCACAAATCTAGTATGCTATCTGCCCGTTTAGGCTCTTAGACGCTTATCTAGCGCGGGGTTTTCTGCACCAAGATTCACATTCTATACCGAAATTCCGAGTATAGTATAGCACGAACCGGGCATTCTGGCGCTTCAGAGGGGTTCTGTAAGCAACTGTACAGGTGGCTTTCTTCAGGTATCCCAATAACTTCGGACCGAGTACAGTACTTCAACCTCCCGGAGTATGATCATCTTTATCGCTGTTCTACCAGGAGAAAGTGGTGATCATCTGCATATACTGCGAGCACCTCGTGGACGGTAACCTTTGGCACTCCATACTGTCATCAGACATTCAAGATGACGTCAGGTCCTGGAGAAAAGCCGCTTACTATATAGTGAAGGTACTGTCTTTTTCATGGCACCTGCACACGTCACGGTGCTTGTAGTAGTCGTATGCTATATGCAGGCTTCTACTACCAGTAGTATACTACAGCCCGGTGCACAGGAGAAGTTGCTCTTATGCTGACTGTGCTGAAATTTCCCCGTGTTAAGCATATTGATACTGTGCAAGTGCTGTGATCAGACCTTTCGGGTCGGAACTGACTCAACCACAACTGGAAGGACGAGGTAGACATTGTACTACAGCGACATATCAGCGGCACACTGTGATTGGTCTCACTCGTTGCTGAAGCTAATATCGTGATTTCTGTTGATCTGGTAGGGAACTGATGGTAACTGTGGTACACTTTGTCCCCTGATGGCCCTTCGGCCATGTTCCAGAGCTAGTCATAGGCGTCTCCGTGCTGCAAGTCAGGGAGTAATGAACAGGTTTTATTTTACCCAAGGGGTTCGTAAAGAATGTGAGAAGCTGCTGGAAACAACGTAAGCTTACCATTGGCAAGCACATTATCACTGATAGTCAGTTCTGACACCCCAGAGTACTAGTATTATACCTACACATATCAATGGTAAGAATAAATACAATAGATCCATTAACTTATCGAACGATTTCTAAGGAATCTGTGTGCTCAATGGATCACAACAGACTGGATTGAGTTGTGCTAACAGTTGTAGTGAAATCAATAAGACTCCAATCAATACTGTGCTTCCCGTAACAGCGATATACTAAATAAACACTGTGCTGGCATATAAATGTCTGTAAAAACACGAACAATATTGTGAGAGTTGTATAAACGGCTCTGTTATTGTTGAGGATTATAGATTAAGCACCATACTTTCCAGGTGCTCTGCCAGTTAAGCAATATTGTCACGACCCTTTTCATCAATTTGGTCGGGATATCGAAGAAGTGGGAATGTACAATTAAATATCCGAGTGAACGAGAAAGATTGAAGAATGGAATAAGATTTGGAATATGGGTAAGGGTCTACTTGAATCTTTTTTCCCTTTTTCTTTTTTTGATTTTTTTTCTTAGCCATTTTCTGCCCCTCTTTCACCTAGTATTATTCAGGATTGTCTGCAAAGGGTGGATCAGTGTTGCCTTGTACAACAGGGGTCTTTACCAGCGAGAAGCATCAGATGTCTCCACCATTAGGCAAGTCATTGCAACCTGACCGGTTGTATTAGCAATTTGCAGTGTGTCCATGCGAGTCTCTTTTCTTCAATTCTTTTTCTTTTCTCCCCCCCCCCCCCTCCCTCTTTTTCTTTTCTTCCGTCTTCTTTTTCACCTTAATATTTTTTCCCCCTTCTACTTCTTCTTTTCTCTGTCCACTTGTAGATCCAAAACACATTCCAAGCTTCTACCACCACACCGGCGTTTGTTGTTTGACTTGACAGTAGGAAAGAACAAGTACATGTAGCTCAACCACCATTAATTGGTATTCCCTGCAAGTATGCAGTAGTGTAATGATTGTTCCTGCAGGGATAAAAATAAATAAATAAAATAAAAACACCTAAAGCAACGCGGGGTAGGTGAGACGATATGAATGGCTGAAACCACGAATTCTGCAGAGACTGACTGATAAAATCATCCAAATCCACTTCACACTCCCGTGACTCCAACGTGACAGTGAATGCTCTTCTGATATATTTATATATCTTTTCCATTTCTTTCTTTCCCCCCCCCTTCTCATGAGCTGTATACCTTAAGTCCCCTTCATTTTGATTATTCGAATTTTTTTCTTAATGATTGTTGTGCATACTAAAGTCTGGTTCTTCACCATTTCTCCTTTGTCAATTGCCCACCATGCCTTTCATCGAGTGCTCCTCCCCACCCATCAAAATAGGCAATTCCCGAATTGACGCTGCTTCCCAGGGAAAATTGCTACCTACTATCATCGACGAGCTGGCTCGCGATGAACCTAATGGTCTCTGGATGGAATACCCTACCTCCTCAACCAATCTTGATGCTGGATATAGCCAGATTACTTATGCCGAACTTGCAAATGCTGCAAACGGTGTTGCCAATTGTATTACCAGTGCTTTGGGAAGAGACAATACAGGAGAGTCACTGGCCTGGTTAGCGCCCAATAGTCCCTTGTGCTCTATCACGCTTATTGCGGCCATGAAAGCTGGCTTCAAGGTGTGCAAGTCATAGACATGTATATAAGGCCGTGCCATTGTCGCTGATCACTGAGAGCTCTAGTTGTGTTTGCTATCAGAAAGAAATACAGTGGCTCAGAATCACAAGCTATTAGAGGACGTCGGATGTTCTGTCATAATCACGACGAATGCGGCCTTTCCACAAGTTCGAGCCACTTTGCGTGGAAAGCAGATCTCCGTTATAGAGCTGCCTCTATTTGAGCAGCTCCTACATGAGCACCAAAGAAGATATGAGTATAACAAGGAACTGAAGTTCCTGTATTACGAAACCGCTTTCATCATCCACAACCCGTGTTCCACAGGCAAGTTATCAAGAAGCAACACTTAAGCTAAGAGGGCATCAGCTGATTGACCCTAGGATTGCCGAAGCCCATGTTATTATCTCACAGCTTTATCGCAAATGTAGCACGTAGTATCGGGCTCTCTGCCCCGGAGGGCTATGAAACTCAGAGCTCCATGCTTGGGAACAATAGATGCCTTTTGCTTTGTCCCCTGAGTGACGTAAGTATAGCGATCCACTCTTTCCGCAAGATGTTGCTGACAGATATCAAGCCGGCTGGCGTACACTTCAGTGTTTTGAATGCTATTTTTAATAACACAGCAGTCATCCTGCCACTCCCTGAGTTGCCCCAAACGGGCCGAAGTTTGACCCAGACGCTCCGATATATTGACGCAGATTGGGCAGCTCTAACCCCATCAACCTTAGAAGCCATGTCGAATGATCTGTCATCGCTAGAGGCAGCTGCGAGTCGTCTCGAATGCCTTGTATTTGCAGGAGGTTGTCTTGCTAAAAGATATGGCGACTTGATCGCTTCCAAGATTAAGCTTATGCCCTCGCCACATTCACCTGAAACGGGGCAGCTCCCCACGGTATATCGACATGAACATGATTTCAGATACGATTGGAACTACTTTCGGTTCCACCCTGCTGTGGGTGCAAGATTTATCCCGATGGGTGCGGGCGTATATGAACTTGTGTTCAACAGAACACCTGCCACCGAACTGTATTTGCCGATTTTGGCCAACTCATACGAGTTTCTGGCACAAGATTTATACGCCAAGCACCCAACTATACCAGATACATGGACCCATGCACCACAAGTGATACCTTTAATTCATGGAGAAAAGGCAGAGCCTATCGAATTCAACAGAAATGTATGTAGCTTCTCAGATATCTCAGCTACTCTCGAGCAGGTTCCTGGCGGTTAATGAAGTTTAGCGACTGCAATTCTCAGCTTCCTGAATCACTACAAGTCGGGAGCCCCTTGCATGGCTCGAAATCTACTCGTATCTCTGTAATCCAGAATTTGAAGGAGTTTGACATTGCTCCTCCACCTGCACGATGTTTAGACAAGAGCTATCCACAACCATCACAGAAAAGATAAGACCGCAAGAATTCATTCAGCTGACCTGACCTCGGCCTTCATCGCAACTTGTCCGCTAGGAGCAAGAATTTGCACTGCTCCTACACCAGATCCCTCCTCACCGAGCACAATCTGGTACTTGTCCTCTGCGTATAACGGGCTCGTCGCCCGGTATGTAATGCTCTCTGGGAGCATCGAAGCAGGATCGCCCTTATTTGGCCGTGTATCTCTCCAGAGATCCAAGATCGAGATCAAATTAAGCGGGCCGTGGACGACGATGTCCCTATGCCCCTCCATCTGCTGGGCCCATGGGGTCGAATAATGGATCTTGTGGGGGTTAAAAGTCAACGCCGAAAACCGGAAAAGAGTAACGGCTGTCTGTCTCAAGGTTCGGGTGTGAGTCTTAGCCGTTGAGATAGTTGACGAGGAGGCTGGTGCCGAAGGTAATGGTGCCGGGTCACTTGTTGTAGATGATACAGCTGGCATAGCTAGTGCTTTACGGAAGACCCAGTTCCTGGTAGAATATTAACATTCAACGACCATGGGGACATACTAGTGTAAGTGTAAGATAAGAACTTACCGACGATCAATAATCGCCACGCCATGCTCGTTGCGAAACTCCTTCTCTACGCCCACTACGATCATTTCCTCTCCGGTCTTACGTACCACTTTGGGTTCGGCACTTAGCACTTTTGTAGTTTCCTGGACTTCTTGTCCCACGCGCAATGGGTTAGGGCTCCCATCTGCGGCACGCGGCCAGCGCACCTCGCCGCCTGCCCACATGCGCCGGGTGAATGGAGTCTCCGGGTTGTAGGAGGCGTCGGTACCATCCACACCTAGTTCATATTCCAGAAATGCGGGAGTGAAGTAAACTAGGTGATAGCCTGGCGGGAGGGGGGTGCCGGCAGGTATTGACGCTGAAGCATTGTTCAGCGATGGGGTATCAGGGTATAAAGATGGGCGGTTCAATGTGAGTGACAAGAGCTGTAGCTGATTGGCGTCAAGAAATTGTGAGCGAGTTTGCGGCCCCAGGGACTGGAAGCGTGACAGAAATGATTCTGCAATGGATGTGGCGGAGGGAACAGCCACTGAACGTCGATAATGATGTACTGAGAAGCGACGGAACGAAGAGTACCCTCGAAACAGGGTCTGGCTGGAATGCCTGGCCGCCTGTACAGCTGAAGAGAGTGCCATCCTGAGTTTATACGGCTTCTATAGCCTTGACTTCGCTCAATCACTCGTTTTCTTGCTGTTTACAAAAGGAGGTTGCAAGTTGGGTTACTTGGGGAGGAAGCATCTCGAGAGTTGGGGTTGAGGGGTTTCCGAAACTCGGGCAATGGGTCTCGGTCTCGGAATCCTGGACAGAGATGTTTCCGAGGTACTAACTATCTTGGGCCATTTGCTTGTCACTAGATTGGGAAACAAAATCATCAAAGTGTCGGCGACTTTCTCTTTCGCCGGGATGAATTCGAGACCATTTCCTCAACAATTGCAAATACCCAAACGGACTATTTGGAACCACCGCATATACAACGAACGCGTCAATTTGCGTGTTGCCAAAACACAACGTGAAAGCCAGAAAACTCGGGGGATTTTCATTTTAGCCGATCTGCCTCTCGGTCTCATCTACCTAAACCTTTAGACCTAACTTCATCTGGTGACAGTGCCTCCTCTGCTTTGAGGTCCACTGCTTTCGGGTGTTTGACACATATACCCAGTATCTCTCTGGAAAATGTGCTTGAAGACCTAGCAAATGTCTGGACTTCTCCATCCTTGAGCTTTTCTAGCAACCCTTTCGATGTGGTCATTTTCGGCGAAAACGCATCGGTTGTGGTCAAAAAGACACTATCCAGGCTGACGAGACCATCGAAGCTGGAGTAAGCAATCTGGGAATTGCTGGCTAAGTTTCGTAGTGGAGCAATCCCACTTACTCTTTTAAATTTCAAAATAGCCCCCCCCTTACGATGAATAACCCGGTTTATAAAGGGGCATAGTGCAAGGTTGAAGATTTTGTTGGGCTCAAGTATGCCAGACTGGAAAGGTGTGATCAATGGTTGCCTGTAAGTGACAAACAATGATATGATATCATGGGTATTGAGGGTATAGGGTCCTCGTCTTCTTCTTTACTCTTTACGCCCTCTCCCTCTCTTCCCATGTGCAGTCAAAAGATGCTAATCGCATGTCCTAGCACATGATGCAAGGAGCAGTCCAAAGCCAACAATGTGTCTGCAAGATCCCATGCATTGTCGAAACATAGCGCACATCTTCATAGGCTTCTGAATCAAACCTATAATGGACCAGAGATTATATACACATAAAATGTCATCAGGTCCACCTTGCAACGTGACAAGCGAGTCTCACATGGCTGCTGATGAAATTTCATGGCTTACATGGAGCATTCTCGATCTCCTTTTACCCGATAAGACGTATCTCTGAGTCGAGGCGCCACCATATCAGAAGGCTTGCAATGTGGCGGAACAATCTTGGTCTAGGCCAGCAGAAAGTAGCCAGCCCCTTGATAAAAAGGGGTACCATGTGTCTTATCTGTGCTGTTTGGAATTCTTCGACTGAATGTTACTGCAGTACAGGAGCACCCCTCAGCAACACAAACATACTAATCCCTTACGTCAGGTCTGCAGCGATAGAAAAGCAACAGTAGCATCATATTGAGAGGAACGATGACATCGCTATTCATGCGCAAGTCCTTGCACAGGCTACTGCCAATAAGCAAGGGGATCAGCAACATTCCTAGAGCTGGATCGATTTAGATTCTGGACCTGACTCCATTCCATGTTCACGAGAGAAGGCTTGGTGGACCCTCTATTGTTACCTTGCCAATTGCTTCTTTGGCAATTGTCACGTATCTAGGTTTAGGCGTCAACATTTTACGGTGCTCACTCTGGCAATTACATGGTGCCTCTCCTGCATCATGAACGCCACTCGACACTTCTTCCGGGTAGCGAAGGAGTATATATGTAATGAGGTCGGCTGATCGACGCTGTCACTGAAGAAGGATAAGATTCAATGAACTAATAATTAAGAATTCTAATATCGCTCATTGTCTTTTTGACTAACCTTCTTCTTTTATTCATCTTCATTAATTTACACCGTTCCCCTGCTCCCTGATCGCTTT